AAAAACTACTCAAGTACTGAGTAACTGTTGAGTTACGTTTCATTTATTTCTAATGAGCATTCGATCAGTTAGACAAAATTACAAACAGGAGAGTTTATCCTGTCAATAAAATAAAGCAAATTAATTAAATACCTAAAATACTAATAAGGTAAATTCAAGTACTTCAATAACAATAAAAAACAATAAATATTTACAAAATAAATAAAACTTTAAAAAACGATTTTAGATCAAACTTACCGCAACATATTTCCTCAGGATAGACGTTGAGGTTTTGAATGCTGAAATATCCGTTTGTTTTAGGAGACACAAAACTGATATAAATGCTGTTCCGCACTGTTTGTAAACTGAACATGTTTTCAACATGAGCCCAGGGGTGTTCCTCCTCGTCGTTGTCTGCATTGCCGACTGTTGGTTCTACCATTTTTTGCTATCAAAGACCGTAGATATCAACCACAGTAGCCGCTAAGCTAACCCGTCCCGCCGCTGAGATTGAGTATGGTCACGTGACGAAACTGCGCTGCAAGGGTTACGTTTTATTGGTTAAACACAGTCGCTCGGTAGAGCCTTGGGTCGAAGTCTCTCTGACAAAATAAAAGTAGAGATACTGGATCATAGATGAACAGAGAACTGGATACTGGATAACTAAAGCTTTATTCACTATCTCTGATGAAAGTAACGAGCTCAGTATAGCCTAATGTAGCGGAGTAAGAGTACTGTTTCTTCTTCAGGAATCTACTAAAGTAAAAGTAAAAGGTATAGTGATAACTTTTTACTGTAAATATTATTTACTTTTATATGTTTTCTTTTACCAATAATGACTCTGAATTAGTCAACGTTTATGAAACACATTTTCTCACAGTGTTTAACTACAGTAACTACATTCTTCAGTCACTCTATCAATGATGCTGCATTTGAAATTGAAATAGCGTTTTCCTGTTTTGGCAATAATGCAATAGTGAAAATAATACATTAATTCAGTGGACCAAGGCCTGTATAAATATAATTAAAAGTTTTTCTACAACTTCCTGTGAAAATTCTATTATGATATTAGTAGTTCAATGGTGACTTTCAAATGACACAGTTAGAATAGAACATTGATTTGAACTATTCTAAACTGAAAATAACGTAAACCCCTTATATCTGTAGAGTTGTTTTGACAGTAAACTGCCAGCAGAGGGCATAAGCCTTCTATATGTGATCACAAAGCTGAGAGAGAAGTCTGAAAACTTGGCGGTGGAGAAAGACTGGACGCTGAAAGGTGG